TGTCCACCTGCACCCAAAAAGATCAAAAAGCTTTTCCCAAAGGCCTACAACAAAAGGGCAAGTGATAAGTATATGGTAGCAACTTTCCTCGTAAGCTTTGCATAGGGTGCACTAGTTAGAAGAGATACAAAGACTAGGTCTTCTTTTTTGCAAAACATCCAAAGTGTTGGTTTTCCTGAGGGAGACTTCCCAACAAAGGGCTCCAACTTTAGGAGGGCCAGGTTTGGACCAAACTTCCTTGTTACGAAAAGGTTGAGGCAATGGAGAGGAGCACAAGGAAGCAAAGAATGAGGCACAAGAAAAGGAACCCGAAGGTAATGGCTTCCAAATACGGGAGTCTACAGAAGGAGGGTCCAAACAAACAAAATCAATAGTTTTGAGGAGCAAAGCAGCCTGGTCAAGCTCAGAATCTCTCAAACCTCTTCTAAAACCCAGATTCCAGTTTATGCCAGAAGAAAAGGATGATGATACAAACCTTTGAATTGGCTCGTTTTTAAAACACGAGATGGAATACAAGGAGGGAAAGAGGTCCTTGAGGGCACAGTCACCAATCCAAACATCCTCCCAAAACAAAACCCTATCTCCAGTACTAACATCATACCTAATCAGGTTCAGGAAAACGGGAAGAATACTATGAATATTCATCCATGGGGATTTCAACGTAGCACGCCGAGATACACCAGCATCCCATCCATTGTCTGCAACACCATGCACACTCCTTACCACTTTATGCCAAAGTCTCTTCCTTTCTAGAGGCCAACTCCATAGCCATTTACCTAATAATGTTGTATGTTTCTTCCTTAGATTGCTTAATCCCAATCCCCCTGCTCCTTCCTCCTACACACTATTTCCCACCTAACCACATGATCCTTCCTCCCTTCCCTTGACTCCCACAAGAAATCCCTCATGACTTTCNCCCCCTGCTCCTTCCTCCTACACACTATTTCCCACCTAACCACATGATCCTTCCTCCCTTCCCTTGACTCCCACAAGAAATCCCTCATGACTTTCTCTACCTTCAAAATCACCTTTTGTGGCATCCTAAAGACAGATAGAAGGTAAGTTCGCAAGTTCGCAAGAGTAGCTCTAATTAAAATGATCCGACCTCCAAGGGAAATGTAGTTTCTCTTCCAAACTGCCAGCTTCTTTGTGCATTTTTCTACGATCGAATTCCAAAATCTTCCTTCTCTTGGATCATCTCCTAGAGGCATACCCAAGTACTTCAAGGGCCAGCTAGATATAAGGCAACCTAAGGACTCTGCTACCTCACTCAATTCCTCCATCTCCAAATTTACCCCCACTACAAAACTCTTTTCAAAATTGACCTTCATCTTCGACACACATTCAAACAACTTTATTACTCCTTTCAAGTTTCTAGCCTTTGAAGGATCTCCAGATTCACAAAAAATGATTGTGTCATCCACAAATTGCAAGTGTGACACCACAGTACCCTCTCTTCCTACCCTCCATCCTCTAAACATATCCAACCCATCAGCTCTCGAAATGAGCCTACTAAACACATAGGCTACCAGGTGAAAAGGAAAGGAGAAAGAGGATCCCCTTGTCTCAACCCTTTAGAGGTTGGAAAGAAGTCTCTAACCACTCCGTTAACTAAAATTGAAAAATGACAAGTTTTTAAACAAGCCTCAATCTAGCCACACCATTTCTCTCCAAACCCAAAATTCCTCAGGGCTTCCAACAAAAAAGACCAATCGACCATGTCATACGCTTTCTCCAAGTCCAGTTTACATACAAAACCTTTCTTCCCCCTTCTCTTGAAGTCCTCCACACATTCATTTGCTATCAAGATTTGATCTATGATCTGTCTACCTTGAATAAAGTTCCCTTGTGATTGGCTTATTAAAGTTGGCAGGGCTGATTTTAACCTTAACGACAACTTGGCCAAAATTTTATAAATGCTAGTCACTAGACTGATGGGTCTAAAGTCTTTGGGTTGAACAACCTCTCCCTTTTTAGGGATCAAAGCCAGGAAGGTGGAGTTGATCCCTAGACTTATAAAGTGAGACTCCGCAAACTCCTCAAATATTACCAACATATGTAACTTTATGATATCCCAACAATCTTGAAAGAAAGCCATAGTGAAACCATCAGGTCCAAGAGCTTTAGGCCACTCTAAGCCTCACATCCCCCTGTCTTTTGTAAATTGCCTTGAAATGATTCTTGAAAACATTAGCAATCTCCTCTTGATCATTCACTACTTCATCATTAATCTCTAACTTTTCCACGAAGTTTTTTCTCCTTTTTTCCAGTAGCGATTGCGTGGAAAATTTTAGTATTACCATCCCCTTCCTTAATCCACTGATGCCTTGATTTTTGTCTCCAACACATCTCTTCCCTTAGCACTATCTCTTCCAATTCCTTCTTCAGATTCCATCTTAAGGTCCTTTTCTTCTGAGAGAGAGTTGTGTCCTTTTTCATCCAAAAGTTCAATCTGGGAAATAACACTTAATTTCTTCTCCTCCACTCTCCCGAAATGCTCCCTATTCCACTCTTTAATTTTACATTTTAGCCTTTGAATTTTCTTGAGAGAGAGTTGTACCCACCACTTCTTCACTCCACCACTCTTTGACCTTTTGGGTGAAGTTTGGATGTGTTAACCACATATTTTCAAATCTGAAAGGTTTAGGCCTACTTAGGAAATTCCTAGTTCCAATGCTTATCGGCCAATGGTCTGAAGTGACTCTTGGCAAGGCCCTAGCTGATAGACCTAACCAAAGTTCTCCCCAATCTGAACTAAAGATGAACCTATCCAACTTAGAGCATCCCGGGTTAGATTGTAGGTTGGACCAAGTGAAAACAGCTTGTTGGAGGGGGATTTCTAACAAACCACACTCATTAATAAACTCATTGAATTTCCTCATGCTAATTGTGATCGCTTGATTGGGGTTATTGGTCTCACTTGTAAACCTAATCACGTTAAAATCCCCACCTAAACACCACGGACCCTCCCACAAACCCCTTATATCATAGAGCTCTTCCCACATTTCGCCTCTCTCTCCATATCTATTCGGGCCATAGACATTCGTCATCACCCAAGTAAACTYTTCTCCCACACCCTTAAATTTCAAAGAAATCGTAAACCAACCTATTAGCTCTTCCATTGGCTCCACTACCTCTTTCCTCTACAAAGTCACTAAACCTCCTGAAGCCCTGCAGGACAAAAAAGACCACCCTACTCCTCTAGAACACCACACACTTCTTACCCATTTCCTATCCCAAACTGCCACTTTTGTTTCTTGAAGCAAGACTATATCCGGGTTTTCCTTTCTAATCAAATCCTTTACTACCCTCATTTTCCTAGCACTATCCAACCCTTTGATATTCCAGCTCAGTATCTTCATTGGATTACTTAAATTTCCACCCTATACACCACCATCCCTTACTTGGTTCATTTCCTTCTTTCCCCCCTTGTACTGAATTCTAAGTCTGCTGCCACATCTGATTTTAATCTTTCTAGCTCCGAAAGCTTCCTCTTTCTTGGACGATCTTTTTCCTTCTTTCCCTTCTTTTTGGAATGCGCTATGACACTCACTACTTCTTTCAATTTCAGGCCCATCTTTTCAGCCACTTGATTCATCGGTCGCTTCCCCATTCCCTCACCCTCATTCCTTTCCTTCCCTTCTCTGGCTAGCCTCCTGTAGATTCAAGTCTTCTTCAATGTATCCAACTTCTGCATCCCTCCTAGTCAGCTCCTCAAAGGAATCACAGATTAAATCCCAGATTTTATCACCTTGTGCCTTCCATTCAGCTTCCGGAACCTGCTGGATTGTGGCAGACAATGGAAGGGTCTGGATGAAATCTGTTGCACTCAAAGAAGGCCCATTAGTATTTTTAAAATCAAAGGGTTTTGTTGAAGGACTTCCAAAGAAAGTTTTTGTCTTGGGACTAAACCTACAGCTCGTATTGCAATAATAGGGAACAACTTATAATGAATTCCATATATTGAACTCTTGATGCCACTGTGATCACCAACTAACTGGATTTTCCTTTACATGATGCAATTTGGATGATCCGGTTCAATATGGCCATTAGCCTAATTCAAAATTTTTCCGCATTCATACTGGCTAATACCTGCTCTCTGGGAATGCAGAGAGACTTAAAACAATCCAAGCAGAAAGCTAATAGAACAAGATAAAGAGGAAAGAAAACAAAGTAAGAGGAAAAATTCTCAACCAAGGATGAAAAACAAAAGAGAAAACTGGAGATTAGGGATTTTACCCCCACTGAACAGTGAGAGACTCGTAATCCCAGTATTCTTTGGGGCGGAGAACATTGACATCTGCGTAGACTCGAGCTTTGGACATGGTGACGGAGGTTGAAACGCCGATCTCGAAGCAATCGATCTTCTTATTGGTGGTGATATTGGATGTAGTTGTATCGATGCACTTGTCGGAGGAGAGAGTGGAAGAGGAGCACGGACCTAGGGCAGGAGGCTGCGCTACCGGCGCAAACAACGCCACCAGCGTGCCCGCTAGCAAGAGCCGATATAGCAATACAGGAATGTGAGGAGCATCTTTCATTCAAGAATCAGATCACCATCCCTCCTTCCTTTCCCCGTAAACAGTAAACACCAAACAAAAGAAACGTGCCTCCGCTTGTCTCCCCACTCCCCACTCCCCACTGTCGAATTTCCGAATCGATCTGAAATCGGATATTTTGGCGCAAATTACCAAAGTATCTTTCTCTTCCTTTGACGTAAATGCCCTTTCCTTCTTTTTTTCATCTCTTATCCTTTCTTTTGGATAGTTTACAGATTACCACCCTGACCTTTTTTTTATCTGACCTTTGCCCCGTTCTGTTACTAAGGCTGCGTTTGGTAGAGGTGTAAATCCTGGTTCGGTGTAGTTTTACATCGTGGTCTACTTTTGCATGTGTTTGGTTGGAACGTAAAAGAACACCGAAGACCGGTGTAAAACTTCATTTTGAAAGATGTTTACATTGATAATCGATGTATAAAATACATCGACTTTTTCGATGTAAAACTCGATCGAACTGCCCATCGGTGTAAAAAGAAAGCAACGGCTCTCTTCCTCTGCTCTGTCACCATCAATCTTCTTTTGCCGGCATCCTCCATCGTCAAGTTTCCTGTTTTCGTTTCGTCGGCATCCTCCACCGTCAAGTTTCCTGTTTCTGTTTCGCCGGCATCCTCCACCATCAAGTTTCCTGTTTCCATTTTGCCGGCATCCTCCACCGCCAAGTTTCCTGTTTCCGTTTCACCAGTATCCTCCACTGTCAAGTTTCCTGTTTCCGTTTCGCCGGCATCCCCCACCGTCAAGTTTCCTGTTTCCGTTTCGCCGGCATCCTCCATGCAACCCTCTTCTCTCTTCCACTCCCTCCCTCTCTCTCTCTCTCTTTTCTCTTCCACTCCTTCACGCCTACCCAGAAGACCAGAGCTTCTCAAAAGAAAAAAGAGGGAAAGCAAAGCCGTATTTCATCGAGGAAGAATTCCAGCAATTCGATATGAAAGATGGAGGTCCCAATAGGCAAGAAATGTATCTCGTCGTCACCGAAAATCCTGGGGTTAAATGAGCAAATCAGTGCAATCCTTGACGAGGTTTTCAGAGCCTCTCAAAAGAAAAAAGAGGGAAAGCAAAGCCGTATTTCGTCGAGGAAGAATTCCAGCAATTCGATATGAAAGATGGAGGTCCCAATAGGCAAGAAATGTATCTCGTCGTCACCGAAAATCCTGGGGTTAAATGAGCAAATCAGTGCAATCCTTGACGAGGTTTTCAGAGCCTACGGGGACTTCATTGATGACGAAAATGGTCTCTCCTATGAAGGTCTTCTCCGGACCTACGACGATGGTGCTGGTGATGTTGATCGTGATTTTGATGCCCTGGATTTGGACTTCAATAACGGCATTGGTAAAGCTCCCCAAGCTTCTGAGGCCTCTTCCTGTTCTATAAAAATGGTATCAACCGGCAGTGATCGGTGGAGAATGCCGGCGATGTTTTTAAAGCGTTCTAGCTCCAAGCTTCTGAGGACTTCAATAACTGCACTCTACCAAATGCATGTAGAAAATACTTTTAACATTTTACACTGTTCTTCCAAACGCACAACAGTGTAAAAGTAGCATCTATCTGTTCATCTTTTGCACTAATATATCTGACCGTTTTTCTTTTACATCAGTGTAATTTTGTGTTTACGCCTATTTCAAACGCAACCTAAAGATTCTCAAGTATCATGTGCATGATAAAATATTTTTAAAACCCCAAACTGCCCTTGTATTATTTTACAATTCCATTTTTATAGAAAATTGATAAAGTATAATAAAAAACAAAAGAAAATATAGGAAATACAAAAAAAAATAAAGAAATAAAACAAAACACAGAAAAACAGAAATTTATAAAAAATGTATATATAATAAAAAAAGAAAAAACACAGAAAACGTTACAAATTTTAAAAAGCAAAAAGTTACAATTGAGCAAATACAACACGGTGAGAGCGAAGTGATAAGAGTATGAAAGTTTAGTGTAGGCCTTTAACGAACAAAAGTTCAAGGGGTTACTGCCGAAAGCATGGATTCATTCTCCAAGAAAAACCACTCGTGAAAATGCATTTTTATTAAATTCATGAATAGTTAAAATAAATAAATAATTTATATAAACATATACAGGTGTCTATATACCATGTTTATCTGTGTGCAGAGTTAGATCGACAACACCTCACACTTACCTCACGTGTAGGGGTGTCAATGGATCAATTTTTGGATTGGACGGGCCAACAAAATATTTATTGGATTGGATTACACTTGGTCCATTCATAATGAATTTATATTATATTAGGTTGGATTTATCCCGTCCATTGATAAAAGACATGAAAATGAACCAAGTTTGGGTTAGAACTTTGAATTAATTTAAATTAAAACAAATTTGAATAAATTAAATGGTTTGAACAGCAAAAATATGATCCAAAATATTCATTAGATTAGATTTGGACCTGGTTCATTTGTAATGGACCGCTCAAGCTTTGGAACTACAGGTGGGATTGGGAATTTGAGATCAATGAGGACATAGCCAGCAATGTCTAAATCTCACTAAACCCACCGCTGGTTCCAATCCGATCCGATGAGTCCATTACAAATGAACCAGGTCCAATCTAATCCAATGAATATTTTGGACCATTGGATTTTGATTCCGTCTAACCAAACAATTAGAATTGGAATAGCCCATTCTGATTCTGATTCCAAACTCTTATTCCCACGAACCAAATGGGGCCTCAGTGTTTTCACCCTCCTAAATTGTCTCTACTGTCTATAATCTTTTTTTTTTTTTTTTTTTTTTTTTTTTTTGGGGGGGGGGGGGAGTCAAGGCAATCTTTGGAAATACGATGTTTTACTCTTTTTTTTCTTTCTTCCATAGAAACTATTGTTAAAGTTCCGTTAATCCTCCCTTAGAGTTAAAACGATGTGGCAAAAAAAATAAATGGAAGGTTCATGTACAAGGTGAACCAAGGGGTCCATAGAATGTGAGCTCTAGCCTTTTGGGCTGGTTTATAGATTGCTTGAGGCATTGGTCTTGTTTAATATGAGATGCTCAAATTATTACTTGGCTGCACTTGAATCACACCTCTATGATTTCTTGGAACTTGTCCATTACTAATAAACATGCATGTGCTTTGCACGTGGCAATTCTAAATGATGATAACGATAGTAATAATATATCCAAAATTTTCTATAAATTTTATGTATATTGTATTTTTTTGTTTCTTTATTATTAATCGAATGCAAATTGCAAAATCCAAATCTGATTATATAAACACCTCATCCAAATGTGTGATAATCGGGTCAATTTGTGAAATTTTAAGTATCACTGATAGGCATACTTGCTTGGTAGACTCTTCTTTTTGTAGTGTTTTATCTTTTTTCTTTTGTTCATTTATCAAAAATATATGTAAGATTTAAATAGAGGGAATTAAATGAGGTGAAAAGTATTAGTTCAATTTATAATTTAAACCTTACAATTAAATATGGAGTAAATTCAAAAATAGTCAAAAGAAAGTTCCACAATCTTATTTATATTTTTAATAGTAGTGTAAATATAGAATTATAGATACATTCAATTTTTTTTTTTGTATTTTGTATGTAAAACTAATTATAATATATCACACCTACTTTTTATTTAATATGATAAATACATGATATTATACATGTGCCTGAATGCTTTTTTTTATAAATTTTGATGTATTTTTTATTATTTGTTATTTTATTAATTTCTATTATTTATTTATGATATTAAAGGTTAATACATTTAACCTAAAAGTTGAACCATTCATATTTTGTTAGTTCTAAATTATGTATTTCGTTTTCATTGTCACTAAAAATAATTATTGCTTATTACACTTGTTTTTTAATGTTATTAATAAAAATATCATAAATGTGTCTAATTTCCTAGGTTGATCAATTTGATTCAAATAGTTGAATTGCTAAATTACCACTTGGGTAAAAAATGGTTTTGTTTTTAAATCACTTTTAAAATAGATGGGTTTATATTGTTAAAAATATTGGCATATATCTAATTAGTAGCATTTATTAGTGAAAATAACTTAAAGATATAAGATTGATACCTTAAGTATAAGACTTAATGAGAAAGGATTAAATTAGGTGAAAAACAATAATTAAAGTTAAATTTTCAACCCTTACAATTAGTGATGGATTAAATACATAAATACGAACATTTGAGTAATCATTAAATCTGACATTAAAAATATAATAAAATAACTTTTATACCCTTTCTCAAACAAAAAAATAAAAGGTAATTTTAGTCCAAAAATTTCACATTGCAATATTGCATTCACATTTTTATATATGATATAGGTATAAATTATAGCCGATTGCAAGAGCCTTCTTAATGGGTCTTAGGATTCCTTTAATCTCCTTCACACTCATACAGGAAATCATGTGGATCATCGTTTAGCAAAGTTGCTTATAATCTTTCAAAAACTCACACTTGGTCTGCTATTCCTTCCTTTTTTTTTGCATGTACTGATTGAAGATTTGGCGCAATGAAAGTTGCCATGTGGCGTTCTTAAAAAAATGATTCTTATACCAACTTTACTAATAAATACATATTAATTGTGTAGATTTAGATTGGAAATTTGGAATATTCAAAACCGACCAAATAATAAATGAAATTTGGGTTGCTTTATTGGATCAAATTTGAATTCAAACACTTGATTCCTCTAGTCCTTTTCTTCCTTTTTTGTAAGACTAAAGCCAAATTTCATTCAACAGAAAAAGGATCAGATGTGTTGATGGGGAGAAAAGAAAATCCTCTCTTAACAAAATAAAATTTGGAGAATTACCCAACCCTGAAACAGAGTGCAGAAGACCAAGTGACAACCTTGCAAGATGGTGAGCAATTCCTTTTAGCATATTTGCTAATATGCTGTTTGCAGACATGAGAGCTCGAGACTGCTTAGGCTGGATAATATCATTTGATGGGATACAAGGAATACAGGGCCCTGCTAGGCTCGAACCTGGACCTAAAGATTTGCGCCCAATCAGAAGGGGCGAAGCCAGGATTTTCACTTGGGGCGTTTTTTTTTAGAAACTTTGAGGACACCATAAATCTACAAAGGAAAAGGGGAGTGGCCTGTGGGCTGTGGCCCCTACCTCCCCCCAAACTTATATTAAGGCTGTGTTTGGTTTGTAAAGATTTCCCTACCTTTTCCTTCAATCCAATTATCCAAACGCAGCCTAAATGTGTTTTCAAAACTGTGCTGTCTTATTTATTTATAATTTTTTGTGTGCGGAGGGGGGTGCAATCTCAGCAAATCTAAAAATTCTATCCGTTCTACCTAACTAACAACATAGCTAGTCCGGTCCCAGTTGGACAATTATGAACTATATAGGGCTCGGGTTATGGTTTGAAAATTTAATAAATTGCCACCGCACCCTTAATAATAAATAGCCTATTCAAAGTTTTTTTTTTTTTTATTTAAAAGACGAATAAGGCTTCATAAACCTGCTTCCCCCACACACAATAACTGAAAGGTGGTCAAACACATTAAAAATCCTAAATTACGAGTGAATATGCTGATTACTAGACTGAATTGTTACAATGTGGATTAGAAGACTAGGGTTCAATTCAAAACTATAGAATAACTGATTACAAACATAATTTATGTACCAAAAAGAAAAAAACAAAAAAAGATTACAAGCATAATGATAGAAATTATCTCAGCCACAGTTAGTTCCCAATGAAAGCCCCAATATAACTTGTGGAATAAGAAGAGAAACCTAGACCATCTGTACAGTGCTCTCCTGGACCGCACATAGGTGTTGAGAGACCGGATTGTAGTAATGAACTGCTAAAAATGCACATTTTCTTAACACAGTACCCGGTGCCTGAGCATCACCTTCTATCAGTTGCCACAGCATCGCTATGCATCTTCTCATACAAGCGGTAGATCAAAGTTGATCTCGACATTTGTGGCTCCCTTTCCAGCACTGCAATCACATCCTTGACAGAAATTGTAGGTGAGACCTTTGTTTGGGACACGACAACATGACTCCTACCAAATTTTCCCACAGGACCTGTTGGAAAACCAACAAAGGAATCAACGCTTCGAAAATGAAACATCTATATCTAATTTGTTTTACAGTAGTCGGGTTGGTTTATCAGTAAAGTTAGTAGGGACTAGGGACTCAGGTGGGGACAGTAGCAGGGTGCACATGAGGCTCACTGGCCATTACCAGAGAGCCTGCTGTTCCACTGGTCTGATCCTGTACCTCCGCCTTCAGAGTGACACCAAATGATCATCTCAACTACAAGGCAATTGGCACAATGTAGCATATCTATTTTAGACAAAGGTTTCACCTACTGGCTATATGACTTGCTCTTGGGTTAGATACTTCATACTTGCTATATGACTTGCTCTTTCTTTAGACCAATCTAGCAACTGTAATGGTCTGAAATCTTCTGATGGGCAAAAAAATGTGGTACAGTGCAAGGGAATGAAGGGATGATTACTGCCATGGTTCTATACTCATAGGTTTAACATGAAAAAGTGCCTCTACCCTTCACCACCATCCGAGCTGGCATATAAGAGCCCACCTCTAACCACAATGAGTTGAACCTGCAACTAAAATTCAACTAAAGCTGTGGCATAGAGGCTGGAAGACTCAAGTTTAGTCCAGCTTGCTATAAAGAATGTTCAGTCCAGCTTACAGGTACACATAGTCTTCAAATCCCCCCCTTTGGGGGTTAGCATCCCAGACTGAAAGCTTCACCAAAATTTCAGTCATATAATTCTTAAGGTTAAATATAATGTATTAATAAAAAAGTACAAGAGCATCTTTATGAGAACTCATGCATAAAAAGTAGCCATGCATTGGACTACAAATATCTGCCCAGATGCACAAGAAATGCCATGCACAACTTATGTACAAAAAAACGACAATGAAAATAGAGAAACTTCCCTAAATTCTTAGCAAATGGATTTTACTTACCAGATGATGCAGCACCAGCAGTGGGACCCTTGTTTTCTGCTTTTTGACTGTCCTTGGTGATTCTACTGGACGTTGACAAAGGCCTGCGACTCAAGTCTTTACCTAGTAGCACACCAGATGCCATATCTATTCCTCCTTCACGCTTCTGCCGAGCTTGCTCTGCCATGAGTTGCCATTTTGAGAGCATGTCATCTCCTCCAACAGCTGCTCGGGCAGCAACATTTGCTGCTGTTGTTCGCATTTTGTCATCTTCCTCTTTGCTTGACTGTATATGTAACGTGAAACAACATGAAGCAGCCACCTTTTCCAAAGTGTAGGATTTGTTTCATCAATGAACCTAGACTTCTATAAAATCATCATCATTGATGAAACAAATTCCCCCTCAGATATACAACACACAACTGAAATGCTAGATTTATCACAACCTTATAATTAACACATAGAATTTTCCTCACCATTACCAATTTATTTATTTATTTTGATAGTAAAGATAAACTTCATTAAAAAAAAAAAGAAGTTACAATAACAGGTTAATGTTCTGCTTAACCTGGCACATTTATTTTCAATTTTAAAATGCACTTTCTACTAATCAATACCTTTTGTGCTTTTAGACGAACTTCATCTTTATCCTTGTCACCATCAGCTCCACTGTTTCCCTCAGCCTGCTTGGCACATAAGTTGAAACCAGCAAGTAAGCATGCCTTTTTTTTGAAAGTTAAGTAAACATCTTGCAAAACTGTTTTATCAACATTTCTAACAAGTTTGTCAATAATGAGGAGAAAAACTATATCTAAAATTCTAAATAATATTGAAAATGACAATAAGATGTGAGAAAGTCATAGTGTCAAGGCACAATATATTGAAGTGATATCTAAGTATCTAACAAAACCATTAAACAAATATCTGTAAATTTTTATAACCCATAGAAAATATCAAGAAGAACCACATCCAAAAGCCTGCTTCATATGGGGTGGAGAGATTCAAACTCTTTTTTAAAAACCCAACAAGTTTTGCAGTGGGGATGGTGCTAGGATAAGATTTTGGGAGGATGAATGGTGTACAGGATAGCTGAACATGATGTTCGGATCATACAATGTTATTAGATGAGGAGAGATCAGCTGGTGTGGTGCCCAAAGTTCAGAAGACAACTTTGACTGGGAGGTGGAGGACTGCATTGAGTGGCTTGACAGGCTACAAAAAACAAAGATTTCTTGCTCTTCAAGGGATGAGCTGTGGTGGAAGGAGTGTAGGAATGGAAGATTGTGAAGTCATTTTATGCAGCTTTAATTCAAAATCAACAGGAGTCAGTTCAGGTTGAAGGAGTGTGGGGCAATAATCCTATTCCACCAAAAGTGGAGGCTTGTGCTTGGCTTGTTGCTATAGATAGTATTTTAACGGAAGATAATTTGAAGACCAGAGGTTTCAGCATGGCTAGTGTGTGCCATATGTGTCTTGAGCAAGAAGAGACATGGAATGAGGAGTTGTACCAAAACTTTGCCCAAGGTCTCTGTTGTATAATGCTTTAAATGGCGTCATACCTGCTGAGACATGGAATGAGGAGTTGTACCAAAACTTTGCCCAAGGCAGCCATTGTATCCATTGTTTAGGTCTGTCCCCCACAAAGCATCGAAAATATGTCTCGATGCATCTGTTGAAAACTTCGGTCTGCCCATCCGATTTTCCTTTTGAAACAGGTTGTACTTTGATAGCTGATCAACCACCACAAGTAGGACTGATTTGCCTTTTGAAACAGGTAGGCCCATGATAAAATCCATTGAGATTTCATCCCATACTTGATTTGGGATGCTCAAGGGCTGTAGAAGGCTGGCTGGTTGTTGGGCTTCATACTTTTGTCTTTGGCAGACATACAATAGGTGATGTAACTCCTTACTGTTTTCATCATGCCTCTCCAATAATAATGTGTTGCCAGACGCTTGTAGGTTTTGAATATGCCTGAATGACCCCCTATAGCTGAATCATGAAGGAGTTGTAGTAATTCTGCTACGTGGGCTGACTTGGATGGGATAACCAATCGACCCTTGTAATAGAGTGTCGAGTCACGAACTGAATAACCTGGGGTCAAGGCTAGATTCTGGGCCCATTTGACCCTTAATTGGCCAGTTCTGGATCTTGAAAGGCTTCAACTTTGAGCTGCTCGAGTAATGGATAACTAGGCTTGGAGACAGTGAGTTGTGCCAACTCAGGTAGCCTGGATAGAGTATCAGCTGCTCGATTAGTTGTACTAGGTTTATATTCTATAATGTAGTCATAGCCCATGAGTTTGTGGGCCCACTGCTGCTGTTCAGGTGTGTGGAATTTCTGATCAATCAGGAATTTCAGACTCTTGTGGTCTGTCTTGATGACAAATCAGCGGCCCAGTAGGTAAGCCCACCACTCCTGGACTGCAAGTACAATGGCCATGAGCTCCTTCTCATATGTTGATTTAGCTTGATTTTGTGGTGAGAGTACTTTGCTGAAATAGGCCAATGGTTTCCCCTCTTGCATTAAAACAGCTCCTAGACCTGTCCCAGAAGCGTCACACTCAAGTGTGAACTGCTTTGAGAAGTCGGGTTATGACAGAATTGATGGTGTGGAAATAGCTTACTTTAGGTTAGTGAAGGCTTGTTGGGCTTGCTCACTCCATTGAAATGCATTTTTCCTTAATAATTGGGTCATTGGGTGAGTGGTGCTATCAGCCTTGCATAATGTGGTATAAAGCGCCTGTAGTAGCTTATGAGGCCTAGAAAAGCCTGCAAGGCCTCGACTGATGTAGGCATTGTCCATTGTTGAATGCAAGCAACTTTCTCCAGATCAGCCATGACCCTCCCTTCTTTGACCATATGGCCTAAGTATTGGACTTGTTTTTGTCCAAAAACACATTTCAAAGCCTTTGCATATAGTTGATGTTTTCTCAGAAGTTCCAAAGTGATGGATAAATGTTGTAGACGAGAAGCCCAATCAACACTATATACCAAGATATCACCAAAAAATACTAGAATAAAGCGGTGCAAGTGGGGACAGAATACCTCATTCATGATGGCTTGAAAGGTTGCCAGTGCATTTGTCAATCCGAAAGACATGACAAGAAACTCATAGTGACCATCATGTGTACGGAATGCCGTTTTAGGAACATCCGCTAGATGCATCAGAATTTGATGGTAACTGACTCGTAGATCAAACTTAGAAAATATGGTAGCAGCATGTAAATCATCCAATAGCTTATCAATGATTGGAATGGGGAACCAGTCCTTTGCTGTGATCTGATTTAGAGCCCGATAGTCTACACAAAACCTCCATGTTCCATCTTTTTTCTTGACTAGAAGGACGGTGGCTGAATATGGGCTTGAACTGGGCTGTATGAATTTTTTCTCTAGTAATTCTTGAACACTTTTCTCTATCTCTTCCCTCTCAAATCTGGGGTAGCGGTAAGGTCTAACATTTCATGGAGCTGCCCCCGGAATGATCTCAATTCTATGGTCCATGGGTCTAGAAGGAGGTGGATGATTGGGTTCTTGAAAGACATTTGAATAGGTGTTGAGTAACCGTTGGAGTGCTTGTTGGTTTTCCAGTGGCGTGGCTGCTTCCTTTGGACTTGTTATTTTGTTAAAACTGGGCTGGTATTCAATCCCATATGCAATAGGAGGGGTTGCCCTTCACTACAACTAGTCTTGAGGATGGCTCTTAGTCCTTCCTATTGCGGTGCACCCTTAGCCACCCCGTTTAGATGATACTTTTGTCCATTAATGGAGAAATCCATTGTTAGTCTTGACCAATCACATACAACCGGTCCCAACTGTTGTAGCCACTACACAACTAATACCACATCTGCTCCACTCATCTCTAATGGATGGAGGTCCACTAGAAATGAATGTTGTTGTAACTTCAGGTGGACCCCTCTAGACATGCTATCACAACTGATGTTGTTGCCATCTGCTACATGTACACTGAATGGCAACACCTGTTCTTGTGTTAGGCCCAATTGTTTGGCTGTCATTTGGGTCACAAAGTTGAGAGATGACCCGTTGCCAATTAGAACTGAAATTGCTCGGCCCTGTACTGACTCAATCACTCTCATTGTCTGGGTGGAGGTCAGTCCTATTAATGCATGAAAGGATATCTCAGGTGGGTCTGGCCCATTCTCAGATTCTAATTCAGTAGGTATCGCAATGGGTGTGTAAGGGATTTCCTCCTAAGGTTCAGCTTCATCTGTCTGTAGTATGAATAGTTGGGGATTCTTACATTTATCGCCTGGACCGAACTTATCGTCGCAATTATAACAAAGACTTCTATCTCTTCGGGCTTGCATCTCGGCCGAAGATAATCTTCTTAATGGCATTGGAGCGGGTACAATGGCTTGGGCCTTAGGTTGAGGATTTTCATCCTACCCATGGGTCTGATTTATTGTAACTGCTGGGCTGGATCCCAGGATAGAAGGATTACCTGGTTGGTTTAGTTGTCGATTCCAAGACTATGGTCTAGAGTTGAATGTGTTCGGTCGACCCAACCTTTTCATTCAATTAAACCTTTCTTCTTGCAATTTTGCCAAACCCATTGCCGCCGATAGGGAGGTGGGTTGCAGGGACTTCACTTAGTGATTTAAAAGGTGCGCCTACGCGCACAGGCAAGGCGCATTTTGGGGTATGCGCCTCGCCCAGGTCCTAGGTGCACCTCTTTCAAAAGGCACGTGCCTGGTGTGCCTAAGCGTGCGCCTGATGCACCTTGCACCTCAACCTAGGCACACCCCTTTCTTCTCATTCTTGTACACTTGATGTAAAAGAAATGCAAACGAAAAGTTCTTTTTAAGTACCCTATTGTTCTTTTCTTTTGTTCTATGCATTCATTTCTCCAAGCTAGAATCAAAAGGTGTTCTCTACTTTCTTGTGGAGATGTAATTAAGGGGAAAAATCCATATGATTCCCTGAATGGGCCTTACCCAAAATAATAACTCAATCACTTGATTTAGTGAATTATGTTGCACGAGAATTTATTAAAATTTTCACACCAATAGAGATGCATTCCTTTCGCAGTCTGCTGGGGCATATGGAAGGAGAGGAATAGAAGGCTCTTTGAAGATTCAAAGTGTGAACAAGTTGGTGGCAGATATTGGCAAGCTTATAGTTGATTGGATAATGATCCTTCCAAGGTTTGCACAAGTGGCTAGATAAGAATATTGCCACGCCCCTCGAGGGAAGCCCGAACAAATCTATGTTAGGGTCTGAAATTCTTATTTCTCACATAAAAAAATCATGATTTTATAACTTTCATCGCCTTTTAAGAAGATATTTTATTGCAACGAATGAATGAACAACATTAGCAAATAGGGGGTTCTCGGAGCTTCGGTGAGCGAGCAAATAAAATCATTATTTTTTATGTGAGAAATAAGAATTTCAAACCCTAACATAGACTTGTTCGGACTTGCCTCGAGGGGCGTAGTACAAAGGCGACTCATAGAATCAAGAATGCAATATGTTTAACATCACATTAGCTACTTGAAGCAATGCAATTAAAGAAAAAAAGAGATTGTGGCTTTTACATGCTTGAAAATGCTTTATATGTTTGCTTTTATTTTTAACTTTTCATTTGAATACGCTTTACATGTTATATTTATGTATTTTAATTTTAGATAATAGGTTTTTTAAAACATTTATTTTAAAAATTAAGT